TTTTAAAACAAATATATTTAAAAATTTTAAAGGTAAATCATCACCAAGAAAAGTAAAATGCTTCTTGATTTCTGATGGACTATGTCCTGATAAACTCATCATAAGTCGAAAATATCAGTAAGTCAAAACTGCACCTAATATACCTAACCTACAGAAGATCATAGCTTAGCTTAGCCTACCTTAAACATGCTCAGAACATTAATATCAGCTCACAGTTGGGCACAATCAACTAACGCAAAGCCTATTTCATAACGAAGTGTTGAATATCTCATGTCATTTATTGACTATCGTACTGGAAGTGAAATAAAAAAACAGAATGGTTATATGGCTATTCAAAGTATGGTTTCTACTTTATGTTAGGCATAAAGACAGGGGAACAACCACCCATGTGCATGCTCACACGCACTCGGCCTGCTCTGGCTCAAGCCCCCAGGTCTCTGCCTGTGCTGTGGAGGTCCCGCTAGGCCACCCTCGCCCCTGACTCCCTGACACAGCCAGGGCATGGCTTCTCATTCCAGCCCCTCTGGGCACCGACCACTCTATCTCACGACTGCGTTACTGGCCACCCTACTCACTAGACCCTCAGCTCTGTAGAAACAGGACTGAGACAAAATAGTTCTGACCAGCCATGGTGGCACAGCGCTTCATGATACTGAAGCCACGTCGGAAGGTCCCAGGTTTGCATCCCGGGTCTCCCTCCGCAGGATGGATGCACCCCCGTGCCGTGATTCTGGCTGGCTAAGGCTGGGGGGGGGCTCTGTTGGGGGTGTCTGGCTCCCCCCCATGGAAGAAATCAATTGCTTCAGTTGCCAGAGGGTGTGCTTGCTTACCAGAGACAGAGAAACAGTCTCTCTCTGAGAGAGCACACCCTCCATGGGATGTGGTCATGCCATAATTCCTTCTGCTCCATTTTTTCATCCTGTTGGGATGCTTTTCAAGCCGCCAGGGCCAGGATTAGAACTGTGGTTGGCCAGGGCTGGCAGGTGGTGTGGTGGTTAAGGTGTTGGACCCCCACATGGCTGACGGTGGTTTGAGTCCCAGGCCTGGCAGCTTGGGTTCTCACTTTCCCCCCCTTTTTTTTTTTTCTCTCTGGCCAAATTAAAAAATAAATAATAACCGCAAATAAAATAATAATAAAAACCCAACTGTGGTTGATCTGATTAAATCCAGCTCTCTTAACCAGCAGGCTATGGGACCAGCCCAGACATAAGGAAAATTAAAACCAATAAATAAATCCCTCTACGTTTAGCTCTAGTATCAGAAAAAGTGCCAGGGCCCACCCCGTGCTAGAGAAGCTGATCTCACGGTGGCGGCCATGGTCTAAGGCCCTGGCTGGTCGGCCCGAAACACATCAGACGTCTGCGTGCATGTGCAAGACCTGATGCTGGACGGCAGGAGGAGGGGGGCTGGGTGTGGCCTCGTGGGGAGGGGAGGATGCCCATCTGTCTCTTCCCTTCTCCTGTGTGCACATGCACTCTGCCGTGAATAAAGAGAAACTTTTTTTGAGAGAGATTTTTGCTATAGGGCATGTGCGCTCACTGGAGAGACAGAGACAGAAAGTAAGAGATCACCCCCCAGAATGGATGGACACACCACAATCCCTTCTCCTCCACTCCACTCTCAGGATTTGGGCACACACGCACACATGCCCAGCATGAGTTTTAAGCCAGGATTTGAACTGTGATTAACTACATGGGAGAACAGTGATGTAACCATTACACCCCCTGCTGGTCCTAAGGGACTCTTAAAAAAAAAAAAAACTTTTTTGTCATTCTCATCTTGTTTTTTTTTTTTTAAAAAAAAAAAAAAATTTTTTGTCATTACCATCATCTTTTTTTTTTTTTTTGGAGAGGTTTTCACTGTAGGGCACGTGCGCTCGCCAGACAGACAGAGAGAGACATAGAGACAGAAAGCGAGAAATCACCCCCCAGGGGGGATGGTCACGCCGCAATCCCTTCTCCTCCATTCTCCTCTCGGGATCTTGGGCACGCACGCACATGCGCCCGGCGTGAGTCTTAAGCCACCGGGTCCGGGACACGAACCGCGGCCGACTACGTGGGAGTCCAGCGACATAGCCATTACGCTAACTGCTGGTCCCACCATCATTATTTCCTTATTCACCGGGGAGGGGGAGGTGGGAATGAAAAAGCAGACCAAGCCGCCATGTCCAGGACTTGAACCATGGTCGGCCATGTGGGAGTCCAGCACCTTAACTGCCGTGCCTCCTACCGATCCGAGAAGCTTGTTTTTTTTTGTTTTTTTTTTTTTAAAGAAAAGGAAAAGCAAGACCAGCAGATGGAGTAATGATTATGTCACTGGACTCCCACGGAGTTCACTGCAGTTTGAGTGCCGAACCTGGTGACTTAATCTCACACCAGGTGCATGTGGCGTGCATGCCCAAGAGCCCGAGAGGAGAATGGGAAAGAATTGCAGCATGGCCATCCCCTCTGAGGAGTGATTTTTCACTGTCTCTCTCGTGAGCACACATGCCCTATAGCAAAAATCTCTCTTTAAAAAAATAATGATAGATGTATAGAAAAAAGGAAAAGCACTGGCCCACAATAAGGTGCACATAACCATTGGTCACGGGGCTGGAGGGCAACAGGGGATGGGTGGGGACTGAGACAAAATGGAGACTACATCTCCCTCCCTTGCCCTGCCCAACCAAAGTCATCTCTCACCTCCTGCCAGGCACCCTCATTTTCCAAAAGAGGTTAGAAACCCAAGATTTTCATGTGAAATTCCCCAGTTCCTTAATGGGGCGACCAATTCAATTTTTAAAACTACGGAGATCTTGCGAGATTTAATGTAAGTGCCTCCAACTGTAACCTCAGATGCAAAAGCAAAAAGCAGAATGTGGGCCAGCCAGTGGCCTGGTGGTTAAGGTGGCTGGTCTCACGTGGCCAACCACGCCCTTTGACTTCTGGACTGGGAGGCTTAAAACACACTGGGCACATGCGTCTGTGTGCCCCAAACCCTGAAAGTAGGGAGAAACAGAGAGGTGACTGTGGCGTGACCATTCCCGTGGGGTGGGGGAATGCATTCTCGCTTTCTGCCCCCCCCCATTTTTCTGTCTCTCTTTGGCAAGTGCATGCACCCTCCAGCAAATTAAAAACAAAAAAAAGGAACCAAGAACAAAAATAGCACACAGTTGTGATTCCAAAATAGATTTATTTATTAAGGATTTAGTTTCTGCATAAAAATCACCAATTGTTCCTCATTGGGTTTTTTAACACACATCAGTCCTTTGGGGTTGTCTGTTTGCCCCAATACTTTAAAAATTGCAGCTCTTCTGAGTGCCATGAAGGGTAGTTAAGGCAACGAGGCATTTTTTGGGGTCTCAGCGGCTGAAGGGTTCTCTTCTCGCGAGACGATATACGTGGTAGGAAGACTCTTAGTTTGGAAAAGCTGTCCCTGAAGAAAATATTGATGAGGGAAAGTATGAATGCAGTCATCCGCGGTCAATTGTTGTACTGGAGAGCTTGAAAGAAATGCCCCTTGGTTATCGAAGGCTTGTTGGTTGATTTTAGCTTAAAAACAAAACACAAACAAAGAAAAGCCTGTCTGGAAAAAGACAGAAAGAGCGGGGTGTATCATGACAGTGCTGTGAGGTTGGGCTGTGCACACGCCAGAATGCACACCAGTCGCCCACGTTTTAAAAAAAAAACCCCCATGACAGGGGCCCTGCGTAATTTCAAATGGAACTCTTCATCGTCCTTAAAATACCCCAAACACCTCACTCAGCGAGATCCTCTAAGGCCACGTGCTTGTTTTCAAAGCTTGACATCATGCCCCCAGAGCAGCGCTCCATGCGGGGGCGGGGGTGTGTGTGCAACACACACACGCGCGCACACACACACACACACACACACAAAACCCTAGGACCTGGTTTATTAGAGACGTTAATCGGCTTTGACCACACCGAAATGAAGGTATAAAATGTCAGTCTGTGCTGTTGTGGAATTCGAAGGAGATTTAGAAGTAGGGCTGTTATTTATTGCTCCATTGGAATAGACCAAAAAAAAAAAAAAAAAAAGACAAAAACCAGGCTGTGCCCTGCAGACCCCACTGGACTCTGGGCTGCCCTGGGGCACTGAGCCAGGGGGCAGCCTGGTGGCTTGGTTCACAGTGATGCCGGCTGCCTGTTCCTATGATTGGCCGCGGCCGGGGGCGTGGCCGTGGCAGGGGGCGTGGCCGCTGCCGGGCACGCCTACACCTTGTAGTTGAGCTCTGCGTTCATCTTCGTGTACATCTCGTAGATGACATCGATGGTGGCCGTGTAGTTGACCAGGAAGAGGCGGACCTTCTCGAGACACTCCTCCTCTGTCACGTTCTGTCCCTTGGAGAGCGCTTTCAGGAAGTCGGACTTATAGGGCGCCGCGTACAGCGCTGCCTTGAGACGGAAAAGAGAGGAGACGGGCACAGCGTTAGCAGGGTTCGAACACTGGACCTGAACGTGGGGCTCTGGGAGGGGACTCCCTGCGGTCCCTGCTGGCAGGGGTCTGTGCTATTCGTGGTGTCGAAAGTGAAGGGAAAAGGAAAAGGGAGATGTGTTTTCTCTTCTACCTCTTTGAGGTCTTGTTTTCCTTTAAAGAATTATTTAACTTAAATTTACTTAATTTTATTTAATTTTTTAAATTTGACCAGACAGGGACAGAGCGGGAGCAAGAAAGAGAGAGAGAGGGAAAGTGAGAAAGCAAGCCACCAGGTCCAGGACTTGAACCACGGTCAGCCATGTGGGAGTCCAGTGCCCTTAACCACCACAACACCTGCCGGCCCCTGGTCTACCTCTTTGAGGGACAGCAGGGAGGACACCAGCTTTGAGGGCAGACAGACCTGGGTGCAAGTTCAGCTTGTGCCGCCAACTAACCATGCGCCTGGAGCAAGGTGCTTAGCCTCTCAGAGCTTCGGTTTCCTCCTCTGTGAAATGGGATAGCGACAGCACCCCCTCGTCAGGAGGGTGAGGGTCCTCTGTAAGGATCACGAGGCTGTGCCCGGGTCTCCACACCACACCAGGTGTACACAGCAGATGCTCAGCACAGGCCAGCCTCTTCCTGCTGTGTCCCCACCCTGAGAAAGGAGAACTTTTTCCTTGGAAACCCCACTTTCCAGGCGGCCCTGTAGCAGTGGTTAGCACTGTGTAGAAGAAAGTGGAGCCCACACGGCCCACCAGGTTGTTCAAGTCCCATTCAAGTCCTGTCCTAGTGGTGGCAGCTGGGGGCATGCCTGTGCCCAAGGTTCTGATGGGACGGAGAACAAGAGGAAAAAGGATTGAGCTGTGACCAGGCCTGTTGGAGGTCTCCCGAACTCCAACACATACCCTTTGGCATTTAAAAATAAAAACCCCAGGACCAGCAAGCGGCATGGTGGTTAAGGGCGCTGGACTCCCACATGGCCAATATGGTTTGAGTCCCAGATCTGGCGGTTTGCTTTCACACTTTCCCTCTCTCCCTCTCTCTTACTCTGCCCATCTGAACAAATTAAAAATAAATAAAGTTAAATAAAATAATTTTTTAAAATATAGAAAGCCCGTTTGCTGAGCTGGAGATGATAGCTAATCCACACTGGGGTCTCTCCTGGTCTGGGGGGGGGGGGGGGGGGAGAGCAACATGCCCCTAAGTTTTAGTGCTCTCCTGATTCTTGTAAAGTGCAAGAAAATCAGAAATTCACAGAATTTCAGAGCCAGAAGAAAAAGGAACGCAAATGGATGAACAGCTTAGGTGATGAGCTCAATAGGATCAGGAAAGTACAAATAATAATATCATGAACAATAAAAGTCAGCGAGACTATCATTTGATACAGCGTGCATGAAGCTAGAAGATTTAACGCTAAATGGAATACACCAGACTATGAAGGATAAACACGGTATGTCCCCGCTCATTAACACCAGACGCCTGCGCCCTGAGCCAGAAATGTTCGAGGACACGACAGTACAGAGGACACATGCAGACACCAGAGCCTGCAGGGGGCGTAGTGGATAGAGGAGGGTGGGAGAGGAGCTCAGCAAAAAAGCGTTTACAGACACAAGACTCTCAGGTATATGGCAAGATCCTTGACTTGACTATCACGCACTTGCATGCTTGGAAAATCCATACTGTACGTCATAAAGATGCTCAACAATTAAACGGAAATAAGAAATTATAAAATAAATAAATGAAAGCAGTAACAGCTTCGATTTACCAAGAGTCAACCAAGAACTTCCTATGGATTCGTTTATTTAATCTTCACAATGACCTTTTGAGGTAGAGCCTATTTTCCACCTTTGAAATGTGACGGTATGGGGCCGGCAGGTGGCACAGTGGTTAAGGGCGGCTGAACTCCCACATGGGCGACTGCAATTCGAGTCCCGGACCTGGCAGCTTGCTTTCTCACTTTTCCTCTTTCTCACTCTGTCCCTCTTTGGTCAAATTTATATAGATAGATAGAGGTAAATAAAATAATTCTTAAAAAAAAAAAAAAGATGAGGGTATGTATTTTATTGCCAGTGGGCACACATGTGTGACAGAGAGAGAGAGATGGAGGAGGAGAGAGAGAAAGAGAAAGGGGGAGAGAGATGGAGAAGTGGAAAAAGAGAGGGAGAAGGAGAGGAAAGCACCCCAAAGGGCCCCGGTCACTCTACGGTACTTTTCCCTCCATTTCTCCTTCCCGTCAGGATTTGGGGGATGCACACACATAATCCCCACATGTTTTTTCAAGCTGCTGGGGCCAGGATTCAAACCAGGATTGGCCATGTGGGATCCAGCTCCATCTACAGCACTTAATCTTTGTGTCAGAGGACCAGCCCTCAAAATGAGGTTATTGAGGCTCAGGGAGGTAGAACCCCTGTCCCCAGTTTTCATGCCGTGTGGCCGCGACAAGGTCCCTCGCTTGTCTGAATGTCACACTCATCTGTGAGTACGGGTGAGACACACTTGCCTGGTGGCGCACTTGTGACGATGACCACTTGGGGGCAGCAGCCCAGCCGGCACACCGGGCGTGCTGTCATTACTGAGGTGTCTGTGAGGCGCAATGGGCTCCTCACAGGGACAGGTCTTGTTCCCAGCCCCGCTGGGGCGGCTGGCTCAGAGGTGGCCGTTTCCTGGCCCGTGACCAGCTCGACTCGCCTGCACACAGCCTGGCTCCCAGCCTAGCCTGCTGTGACCTGTGCCTGGGGGAAGGACACTGCCCTGTCAGCCCGGGTCAGGGCAGTGAGGAGAGGCAGGCAGGGGGAGGTGCAGCAGGAAGGGCAGTGGGGCCATGCAGGGTGAGATGAGGGGGTGGCGAGAGACAGGATGGCAGGTGACAGCATGCGGGGCACTCCAAAGGCCTTTAAATGTCTCCTGGTGGCCTTCTCAGCCTACAGACCCTGGGCGCCCTCAGCTAAGCAGGCTGGTGCTCAAGTCCTGTTTGCAGGAGCCCTGAACAATGTCACCCCGACATCAGCGACCAGGAACCCCATGGGCCAATGTCCTTTTAGCAGATGTCCACATGGGAACAGGGACCCACCTTTTCCCCTGCCCCGTGTGAGAGTCCAGGCTGAACCTGAGGGGCCAGTGAGCTCTGCCCAAGTCTTCCAACCCCCATTCAGACCCTACAAGGCCTGAAAGAGACACCGCAGAGCACCTAAACAACGCTCCCCCTGGCCCTGATAGGCTGGCCAGATGCACGGGAGGGGACCCTCTCTACACCAGCCTCACCCCAAATAGACGGGGGCATCTTCCATCTTGTCAGGATTTGGGGTGCACACACTCATGCTGAGGCTGGGATTCACACTGCACATTGGCCGTGTGGGATCCAGCTCCCTTAACCTCCGGCCCAGGTGGGCAAAGGCGAGCTCCAGGAAGCCACAGCTACGACATGGCAGAGCGAGGAGAACCTACTACGCTGGTGGCCCGTGGGCTCCTCGGGTTCACGGGGCGCAGGGCGGCTCACCTGGAAGATCTTCTGCACGATCCAGCCGTGGTACTTCTTGAGAGCCATCTCGTAGGCCTTGGTGGCGTTGACGCGGATGTGGTTGGGGTGGTTCTCATCCCGCTCGCCGTCGCAGATGCTCTGGAGGAAGACCTGGATGAAGCGCAGGCCCCTGCGGCCAGAGAGGGGAGGGCGCCTTAGAACTGCGTGCTCCCGGCCCTCGGCCGGCCTGCACACCCGCCCCGCCGACCCCTCGGTGCTCAGGACCAAGCACCTACTGTGAGTCAGGAAGATGCACACGCAAAAGGGGCCGGCCTGTCCTTAATTTTGTTTGTTTAATTTTGCCAGGAAGTGCTTGCGCTCGCTCACCACAGAGGGAGTCGGAGAAAGCATCTCATGATGGGACGTGATCAAGCCCGACTTCCTTCTCCTCCCTCTCCCCACCTCATTGGGGTGGTGGGCATGCACACACAAGGGTCTGGCAAACTTTTCAAGCCTTCAGGGCCAGGATTTGAACTGCGGAGCTGGTCATGTGGGCTCTGGCTGCCTTCAGGACTAGGCCACGGAGCCAGCCCCTATCTTCTTCTTAAGGGTCTTTCTTCCTTCCATGGGTCAGAGAGACAGAGGAAGGGAGAGAGCCCCCCGACAAGGTCCACTCCTGGTCAGCCCTGGATCATGGATGCACTTGCCTGGTGCACTCAGGGAGGCCTCCAGACACGAACCTGGAACCCTCCTGCTTTAAGGCCGCGCCACATCTGGCCCCCTGCATCACTATCTTTATGTGCTACCTGCGAGGGATGTGGCCACTTGGCTCTCCCTGACGGCCCCCAAGCACCTTCTCTCCGCCAGACCTGGGGCTGGCCTGGCCTTGCCCATTTCTGTGTCCTAGCACATGGCAGGCGCCATTATGCCTGAGGAAGGACGCCACCGTGCTGGCTCTCAAAGGGCTCACGGACCACAGACTGTGGACACGCGGGCACACCGACGAGCCTGGTCCCGAGCTGGCCCTGGCTCCTGGCTCCACCCTCAGCCCCTGGGATCTCTCTGGACTCACTCTGTTGTACCTCCACCCTGAGACCACATGAAGGCCCCGCTGCCCCGAACCACAGGCTGCATTTTCCAGAGGCCAGGCCAGGCCCTCCTCAAGGGGAAGGATGATGCTTCAAGAGCCTGGCTAGCCCGGAGGGGGTGTGGGAACCAGCACCGAGCCCAGGTCGAAAACCTGACCAGCACCTGCCCTGTGTGCACGGCGTGTGTCCGCTCCTCAGCCAGGGAGGTTGCGCTGGGCCCGACCAGTCCACTTCACAGAGGACACTGAGCCCGCTGGTGGCTCGCTCACAGCCCAGCTGGGCTCCCTGCTTTGCCGCCCCGCCTGTCCCACGGGTCCCTGGATGAGCTACTGTACCCCCTCCCTGCAGGGGGTGGAGCAGGTCAGTTGGGGTGGGCTCTAAGATCCAGGAGCACAGCTTGAGGACGGGGTCTCTAACCTTCCGCCCATGAGGTGAAGGTACTTTCATGCTGGAATCAGAGTGGCGCTGAGAACAGGGTGGAACCCCAGCCCTGCCTGCAGCTGCCTCTCTGGAGCTGCCCTCCGTGCAGCAGCTGGCTTCTTTTCCTAAAGCCCTAAGTGGCCAGCCTCTCCCTCAGTGGCTCCCCAACACCCCCAATCAGCCTGGAGCCCATCCTTGTCCCATCCCACCTGTTGGGGAAAAAAATCTTTCACAAGATGTTGTATTTCTTTTTATTTTTTGGAGAGGTTTTTGCTATAGGGCATGTGCGCTCACCAGACAGACATAGAGACAGAAAGTGAGAGATCATCCCCCCCACCCCAGGGGGAATGGCCACGCCGCAATCCCTTCTTCTCCATTCTCCTCTCAGGATCTTGGACATGCACGCGCACGTGCCCGACATGAGTTTTAAGCCACCAGGTCCGGGACGCGAACCAAGGTCGACTACATGGGAGTCCAGCGACACAGTCATTATGCTAACTGCTGGTCTCAAGATGTTGTATTTCTGTCATGAGGCTAAGGGGGTCCACCCATGGTGGAGCAACTACTGAGTCTCTGTGCTCTGCCGGCAGGGACCACATGGGAGGACCCAG